TATGCGCCATTTAAAAATCGAACAATTATCAAAAACGATATTGATAAAATAATATAATAAAATAAAAACACACACACACACACACTATAACTTATCAACTTGTTTTATATTATCACAGCAAAGTCTGAATGTCACATTACTGCACGATTTTGTGTATCAAATATACTTGAAAAGATCAATTACGACTTTTTAAAGGAAAACGACTTGTGCTTTAGTCATGAATTTAATTTAAGTTAAACAAACAATATATTAATAAGAGATTTTGTGTCGAAGTAATGTGTCTTGTTTCCGTTTACTAGTCAGACTGTTGGACGACAGTGATTTGAAACGGCAAGTGGTTGAAAGGAACTTGACTTCCTTCTAGTGAATCCGCGATAACAAATCCTCTACCTACTAACGCAACTGACGAATCAGGAAATGACGATTCTACGGAACTTTTATATTTATATCATTTTATATTAAACTAACATAAATATTAAACAGTTTTATCATCAATTACACATATTACATGCTACTTATTTGTAAAATGGGGAAGGTTGATAAGTAAATGTTTATAATATTATATAACTGGATTACGTATGATCTTATTTTTATTTTTCGTAAAGTAATTTGTATTTTACAAAAATATGTCGTTAATCTATATTTATTCTACACAATATATTCAAATAATTGATAAGCGTCGTTTATATAACTCAAAGCAACATTTTAACTAGATTTTAAATCTCAAACTTATTATGCGGCAACTTTTCAATAGAAACGAGACAAACCAAAATTGTGAATGTCTCATGAATCATCACGTATCTTTATATCGTATATCACTTACTTCTTAAAGATTGCATATGTATTTAAACTATCAAACTTTTGAAACACAAACACGTTAATAGAATTATAACAAAATTTTAGAATGGCATAGAATTTAAGATTGTTTGACATTTGAGAGACATATTAATTTTCTTGAGACATTGCTATTACAACTATCTAAAAATGGTGAATCGCGCAATATGATTACTTTCCCGACATAAAGCATCTGACTCGCAAAAAGAGATAATGTTAACGCATCTATTCTAGCTTTCACACAAGCATTAATCTTTATACTAAGTTATTACATAAAATAATTACTTTCGCATATATTGAATATGTATGAATGAATTACAACATTTAAACGAATCGCAATCTATTTATTGTTTTTGAGAAATTTAATTTGCATTTTTTTATCTAATTTAAATTAAAAAAAAATAGTAACATGAAGCTTTCTATAGAAATATTTTGTGCTGTTTTCGTCTTAAACTATTGAAATTGTCAGAATATTTTCAAGTAACCACAAGTGGTAAAAGGCAAACACCACTTCCTTTTAGCGAACTTGCGATAACAGATTACTGATAAATGCAACTGATGCATCGAAAAGCAAAGATTCTATCAGAATTCTACATATATATTATATTTTATATAAAAATATCAATCAATGTATAATATATTTTGCATAAACTATCTAAAAAGAAATGTGAGAATAAAAATAGATTTTCTGGGAAATAATATTTAAAGAGCTATTATATTTAAAGAGCTATTCAATAAATGAGCGTATAATTTATTTTTGTCATAAGCGTAGAACTTAATAAAATTAAATTTTACGGTTATTTGTTGATTAATTTGATTAAGCAAAAATCAATGATTTTAGTGCATTTTACAAGTGTGCTTTATTGATCGCATGTTTTATTTATTTAAAAAACATTTATTTTGATGTATATTGCGAGCATCAATCATATTTTATTATTTTTTGTTTTATCCAAAATTATTCTATCTTAATATTGAATTGGAAAACATTTATTTTATTGCGAAAATAAATTATGATTCATAATTCTGTTCGGTAAATGGTCCGTTTTTGAAAACAAACGTCCTAAAAAATTAAAAGAAGACATCTTAAAAACCTGCAAGAAAATTAACAAAGGACGTCTCCATTCATGCTGCTTGCTACTTGCGTTTCAAAGCTGGCGTCACTGGTATTATTCGACAAATAAAGCGGTTCTTCTTTTGCAAGCACTCTGATTATGAAAATTTGATGATTAGAAGAACCACTTTATTTGTTCTTTCGGATAATAGCGTTCATAACGTTTGGCAGCGCTGATTTTTACTACTGCAGCGCGCGTGGTTAGAAGAGAAAATAGACGTTCACATACAATAATCGCTTAAAATGTACAACCAATTTCGAGCACTGAATTAGACCATGGGATCATAGATGGATAGGCTAGGAAAGATAATTCAGATAAAATTAATTCAAGCAAAAATAAATACATTCAATAATCGTGCAACATAAAGTCCACATATTTCAGGATTAAAGATGATGAATCATTTAATCTAAATCTTTTGCCTACTTATTTTAAGATAGTGAAACTATGAAATAATATAATTTTTATTTTTATTTGTAATATTTGTATTGCCACATTTAAACTTAATCATGCATATTAACGTCCATTTTTAAGTAATAGTAAAATTATCGTATCGCGATAATGCATAAGATAAAGATGGTTTATTGTACAATTGAATAAACTAAAAATCAGGCTGAAATACTAGCTTTTATTCTAGCTTTTATTCTTCACACGGCCGCATTTACCATAAGGCGTATTAGGCGCAAACTGGAGCCTCATTTTAAAATATTACTCCTCACAAATGACAAAATTAAAAATATCCTAGTTATTGTTGCAAAATAAAATACTTACTTTTAAATATTAAATTCATAATATAAAAACTAGAGGCCACTGAAAAATTTGTAAGCGGTAATTGTTTATTAAATTTTGCCTTTTTACATCATGTAATGCATGTCGACTTTTATTTTCAATAAACACTTAAAAAAAAAGCGTATGAATTTGATTAACTAAAATAGACTTGTTCTTTTGAGGCCTCATAATCATGTTGCGTCTAGGGCCTCTAAAAGTATAAATGCGGCCCTGTGAGTTATAAAGGTTTGAGTAAAGAAAATCGAGAAGACTCAATACTTCTTGTAAGACTATTATGATTAAAGAATCTTGACAAGTTTAAAAGTTTTAAAAGTCTTAATGTCTTCAATATATTGAATGATATCAATGTGAAATTATTTTCGTAAATTATCACACATTCATATACACAAACACACATGAATATACACTGAAAAAAAAATAGTTGAAATAATTATAATTTCACTAAAATTGATAGTAATAAGTTTCATTATTTCTCGAAACCATGCGAATAAGGTTATATAACTAGTATTATAGTAAAATTTACTATAAAAATGAGTATTCCGACTATAATTTTTTTACCATGCAATTATAGTTCATTTTATCATCGATTTTTTTTTTCAGTGTAAAGGAGGATGTTAAAAATAAGTCGATTTTGGCCCATGGTGTGGAACCAAAACTACAAATGGTTTCTTATAGATTTTATCCGTAGAATCACGTGGTAAAGTCTGTTTTCCTCTAGACAGCGGGGAAAGTACGGAAAAATTGAAAAAAGACCATGAAAAATGCAATTTCTCGAGCTGGTTGAAGTTTAAAACGTTCCTGGAGTGATTTTTTAAAAATGATTTGTCGCTTTTGTCCTTTTGCAGGGAGGAAGTTTCGAGACTAACAAACAAAGTACAAAAAAGACCAATCTGATACGTGCGTCGGAAGACATCCTCATATCCGAAAAACCACCCCTAAAATCACTCAAACAATTCTAGCCAAGCTAAAAATGATTTGTCGCTCTTTTCATTCCGCACGGAAAAAATTCCGAGGCCCTCACACGACATGCAAAAGAGACCGATCCGATACATGCGTCGGAAGACACCCTTACACTCGA